TTACAAGAAACTGGTGGGAAGTCTTATGTACCTTACAACCACACGCCCTGACGTGATGTTTGTTGTAAGATTAATCAGTAGGTATATGGAACGCCCCACGAAGACCCACTTGAAGGCAGCAAAGAGGATTCTAAGGTATGTGAAGGGAACATCCAGTTTTGGGGTGTTTTATAGGAAGGGAGGAGATGAAAAGCTTTTTGGCTACATGGACAATGACTATGCAGGAGATCAGGATGACAGAAAAAGTACATCAGGATATGTCTTCATGGTGAATTCAAGTGCAGTATCTTGGTCCTCAAAGAAGCAACTAGTGGTTACTCTTTCCACTACTGAAGCTGAGTTTATCGCTGCAGCTTCAAGTGCTTGTCAAGTTGTTTGGCTAAAGAGGATTATGAAAAGTCTAACTTGTGGGCAGTTTGAACCTATTGTCGTGTACTATGATAACATCTCAACCATCAAACTCTCGAAAAATCTAGTAATGCATGGACGTAGCAAGCACATTGACGTTCAGTTTCATTTTCTTCGAAATTTGGTCAATGATGGAGTAGTGGAGCTCAAACAGTGTTCAACCCAGGTGCAGATTGCAGATGTTATGACTAAACCATTGAAGTTAGAAGTGTTTGCAAAGATGCAAGAAGCAATGGGTGTCTGCAAATACCCAGGGATAAACTGATTATCAATGATATTCAGTTTAAGGGAGGATGTTAAAATATTTGAAGTCTCCTAGCTGTTAGGGTTAGGGTTCTTTATTTCTAGGGATTAGTTTCTAACCATGCAAATAATCTCTCCTATTCTTGAGGGACAAGCTTATCTTTCTGTTTCTGACTTAGTCATGCACCACGATCTTAGGCCATGTAAATCGTGGGTTGTTATTTCCTATTTCATTGCATTGTAAGGCTATTTAACAGCCACAAGTTTCATTCAATATACAAGGACATTCTCTCAATTTTCTAGTGTTATTAGACTATACACGTACAAAAGCTTTCTGCCATTTTCTCTGAGTTCCAACACGACGATGGCTTCGCCACCAAGGATATCTGCATCGACTCAAATAGTTCTCTCTCGATCCAAATCTTCCTCCCCGAGTCCGCTTCACCCCACCTGAACTCGTTTCCAAGCTGTCACTGTCTCCAAGTTCCTACGCCTCGTAAAGTCCGATGGAAGCGCCACTGGGCACAACCGATAGGTACAGATCGTCAGTGACTGACCTTGTACTCCTTAGAGGCCTTGGCGGCCACGGTGGGCGTGAAGGCGACTGATTGGATAGAGAAGGGGAAGGGGGAGGTGGGGGTGGGGTGGGGGTGGGGTGGGAGGGTTTGAGTTGCGAGGAAGGGGAAAGGGTCAATTACAGGTGGGCGTTTTTTTTTTTTTTTGATAGGGTAAATTATTATAATATTTTAAATGCATAAATTTTTTTTTGCCACATGGCACAAATGTGGCCACATCAGCACCACGTCATCACTTAACGGTTTACTTAATGGATTTTCTAACGGATGTATGAAATTGAAATAAAATGATAAGTCAATGTATGAAATTGAAATGTTTTAAAGATGTAAGAAATAGAAATTGACCTCAAATCTGAGAGGGTAAAATGTAATTTACCCTAAAATAAAATGTTTTTATATTTAAATATTGGTGCTTTTAATTAAAAAAAGATACATTTTATTATAAAAAATGGGTGTATAAATAAAAAGGTGAATCGATTATTTCATATTAAGAAAATAGGTACATTTTACATAAAAAAAAATTGGTACCATTATATATATATATATATATATATGTATATATGTATATAACAAAGTTGTACATTTTTATGAAAGATGAGTAGGTTATAAATAATTCATGAGTACAAATAAAACATTAAAAAAACGTAAAAATATTGGCACAACAAAAGTATATGGGTACAAATTTAAAAAAAAAAAAATGGTGCTTATTAAACAAAGGGCCATTTGTAAATTAAAAAATAGGTAGAAATTAAAAATAAAAATATATGATACAAATTTAGGCATAAATATAATTAAATATATCAAATATAATGTTTCTAAAACTAAATAGATCTATTTGGAAATGATTAAATAATGTTAATCATAAAATTTAAATATTATGACATGTACAACAACATAACCAAGCATTATCCACTAAGCGGGATTGGTTGTCTAAATCCTAGAATGTTACTGCGCTCGGTTTTGCGCCAAGTCTTTGGTTAGCTCCAAGTACTCCATATTTTTTTATAGTCTCTTTCAAAGTTTTTCTAGGTCTTCTCCAACCCTTCTTGCCTTGAATCTCCATCACATTGTTGCATATTCTAACCAGAGCATCTGTTGGTCTTCAGTTCACATGTCCAACCATCTTAACTGATTTTCTTTCATTTTATCTTCAATTGCGGCCACTCCTACTTTACTTCGAATGTCATTGCTATTAATCCTATCCTTTCTCATGTGCCCACATATGTAGCAAAACATTCTTATATCTGCTACACTCATTTTCCACGTGTTGCTTTATGACCGCCCAACATTCCAGGCCATAAAGCATCGCTGGCGTTAGTGTCATCCTAATAAATTTTCCCTTAAACTTTAGTGACTTGTAATATTTTTATTATTGAAATAATGACATGGACAAAAATCAAAGGATGGAGATGATTATTGATAGTGGTGTTATGGAGCCTAGGATAAGTCTGGAGGTGAAATCGGATTCAAACGGTTTGATCCAAATGATTGACAGGGAGGTCACGGCTGATGTAACACTTGATGTTTATCTGCTAGTTGTAAAACTACAAAGCATGTAGCTCATTGGTCATTGAAGTTTTAATGTTCCTGCACGTCATAGGTTCGAACTTGCTAGGTTAACATCCTTTATCCTTTTTGGAACAAAAAACTAACCATTTTTTGGCTGGTTGATATGAAACAATCCTTTGAGCCATGATTTAAATTTTTGTTAGAATCTAACGTTAATTTCTTTTTATTTTTTTTTTATTTTATCAAAGTTCGTAACAAGTTATGTTTTTATGATATAATTATTTCAATACGCATACATTTTAAAGATTTATACTCTTGTTTGGTTAAAATTTTCCATGCCATTACAGAAAAAGAAAAAAAAAACCTTTAATTTTATCTCATTGGCTATATGGCTATATTTTGTCTAATTTCTTTCATATGGTTTAAAGGCCCCTTCTAGTTTGAATTTCTAGCTCCGCCACTACACGTAGTTAAGCATGGCTGGAGATTTGGCTGGGATGAATTAGGTCTGGAGTTTCTCTTTAATATTTTACCAGAAGATGCAAATGTAACTGTTTGTATTTAAACTTTAATAAAATTCCATTTTTCGACAAAAATTTAAAAATAAACATATTTAAAACATTTAATAACACCTTACAAAAACTAACCATTTTTTTGGCTGGTTGATATGAAACAATCTTTTGAGCCATGATTTTAAATTTTTGTTTGAATCAAAGTTTGTAACAAGTTATGTTTTTATGATATAATTATTTCAATACAAAATTTTACATACATTTTAAAGATGTATACTCTTGTTCGGTTAAAATTTTCCATGCCATTACAAAAAAAAAAAAACCTTTAATTTTATCTCATTGGCTATATGGCTATATTTTGTCTAATTTCTTTCATAGGGTTTAAAGGCCCTTCCTAGTTTGAATTTTTATCTCCGCCACTGCACGTAGTTAAGCAAGGTGGGAGATTTGGCTGGGATGAATTAGGTCCGGAGTTTCTCTTTAATAATTTAGCAAAAGGTGCAAATGTAACTGTTCGTATTTAAACTTTAATAAAATTCCATTTTTCGACAAAAAAAAAAATTGAAAAAGGAATAAGGTTTCAATCAATGAAATTAAAAAATGAGGGATGAGAACTTAATTTCTCCAAAGTAGTATATAACAATAAAAATACAAAAATTTAAAACATATTTAATAACACAAAACTTCACATTCATCATCCAAATTCAAGTTTATTTGATTTATTGGAGAAGAAAAGTTTTGGAATGTAATTCTATTGATATATAGAAGAAGAAGTATGATAATTGTATTCATATAGTTTCAGTATAGGCAGGCTCTTCATATTCATAAGATTTCAACTGGAGCTTTGTCTCCTATTAATTTTCTTATTTTAGTTTCTTATGTGAAAGTGTAAAAACAACCTAGGTGTATCGCCAATCCAGTATATGGTATCTATTAAGTCAAAGTTGTATTCATTGACCATGATACGTACAGATGAGTATTCGAGAATATTCGACAGCCAACTAAATATCAAATGCCAGAGACATGAACAAACTGAATTATTTGTGCTTCATAGTAATTCTCATATTCATGTTTAATAAAATGAAAATAAATAAATAAAAATAAAAACTCAAAAAAAATTATTCAAATTCCTATTCTCTTTAAATAAACACACTACTTCGAATAATTTAGTGTACTTGGGTTGACTCTTTTACTATTAATGCTATTTGAGTGGATGTCTAATATCTTTGATTGCAAACAAGAAAAAGAAAAGGAAAAATGAAGAAGAAAACATGTCAAACATTTCAATATACTTTCCACAAAAATCCAGCTAAGACCTAATCCAAATCACTCAATGAACTAAACCAATTGTCACATTTTCATTCAACTGTGTACCTGCAGATTGACCCTCTCCGAGGAAAAGATAAGTCTCCCAAGAGTGGGACCTGACAAATACACTGACAGGGATCCACCACCCTGCATTTGAGACACGTGTACGTGCCCACCCCATCTCTGAGTGAGCAAAGGATTAATCCACTATGGCCCAGACAAGTCTCACAGAAAGATGCTGCGTCTTTTAGCCCTTTGCGACAAACCCTAACAGGGGCCACCATATACATTGCTTGTACTGCTCTCAAACATTAAATTCAGCACCCCCACTGAACTTACACTTTCATGTCATGCATCCATTTTTCTCTCATCTTTTCATATTTTCGGAGTGATCAGAACCTAGATGTGGCGAGCTAGCTAGTACATTTTCAGTTCACTGTTTCTTTTTGTTACCTCTTTCTCTGCTGCTTAATCATACGGATCGAGCACAAGAACTAGCTTCTTTTGTCTCTATTGATCTCTCTTTTTACTTTTTATCTTCCTCTGCCTTGGCTGCAATACTTCTTTGAGAGAGAGAGAGAGATGGGACATCACTCATGCTGCAACAAACAGAAAGTGAAGAGGGGGCTATGGTCTCCGGAGGAAGATGAAAAACTCATCAACTGCATTACAACATATGGCCATGGCTGCTGGAGCTCAGTTCCTAAACTTGCAGGTACCCTCTTCTCTCTCTCTGTACATCTATATATACATATATCTTATTAATAATTAATTGTTCTATATACATATATGCATTATATATATGTTTTGGATTGTGCGGGATTTTGGTTGCTAATTAACCCATTACAATTTGTTGCCTAAGTTTTCAACTTTTTATTTAAATTTTTTTGTTTAAATTTGCATCCATGAGGCCAGGCCTTCAGAGATGTGGAAAGAGCTGCAGACTGAGATGGACAAATTATTTGAGACCTGACTTGAAACGTGGGAGCTTCTCTCCCCAAGAAGCTGCACTCATCATCGAACTCCATAGCATTCTAGGCAACAAGTATAAATATTTGAACTTTTTAATATTGGTTCATCACCATTGTATATGTTTTGGAAGCTGTTATTGACAGTCCAAGAAAGTCATTAGGCACTTCAAATTTACAAAAACACAAGTAAAAGTTAAAAGAGTGCAAGATGACATTTTTGAAGTGCCAGTAACAACTCCCTATGTTTTTGTGTTAATTGTAATAATCTTGATATGTAAATTATAAGCAGATGGGCTCAGATAGCCAAGCACCTGCCAGGAAGAACAGATAATGAAGTGAAGAACTTTTGGAACTCAAGCATAAAAAAGAAGCTCATCCCTCATGAAGTTAATCCTGCATTTGCCTCCTTTTCTAGTGATCATATTCACAACTCTGGAGGTCATGGCTCTGAGGAAGGTTTCTTCACTGTCAATACAAACCCTAATTTGGGTTCTCAACCACAAGACCAGCTATACCTCCCCATTGTTCCACCAATGCCATCACTAGGTCTCGATGATCATGGTGATTTTAATAACATTCTCAAGTTAGACCAGACCAGTTACGCTTCCAATTTCGTCGATCATTTTTTGCCGCCTTTCCAATTACCATCAGATAATTCATCCTCATGTGAATCCTCATCATGGTCTTTAGGCTATCAGCCCCATTACCAATATGATCCAAATGTTCAACAAGTTCAAAATTTCAGCATCAATGAAGCTGCTGCGGCACAGTATAATAATGGTGGTAATGAGCTTATGGTTCCAATTAGTATGGCATCGTCAGCGTCAGCCGCTTATGAAAATCTATCAAATACACCCACCATGCCTAAATTTTGTGAAATCATTGATAGTAATGCTTGTGGAATGCCAATACTATACCCATCCGATGCACAAGAACTTGATTCACTTGCCAAATTATCATGCTTTACTTCTGGTCATGGGTCTCACCCTCAAGATCTTCAATTTCCATCCAACCAGTTGGAGTGAATTAATGCAACATGTCCTCGTTGCCATTGTCTTCATCATCGTCGTCGCTTCTATTGGCATCTTCATCCTTGTCACCTTTCAAGCAGCCAATTTGTCGCAAACCCTAATGTTCGTTGAAGCTGCTGGGAAGCCTAGCTGGTTAGACATAGTATTAAATTTGCGAATTAGGTATTTTGTATGGTTGATTAAAATAGACTGAAAATTGCATATCTTTCTGGAAAGGGATCCTCTCCGGATCCCTTCCTCTTAATCCACCAAATCAGGAAATCCATACCATTGAAAATTGATCCAACAACTGAAGTTATTATAACTTTTGAAGTGGGCCCCTGTTAGTAGCCGTTGGATCAAATTTTAATAGCACGGATTCTCTGATTTAGTGGATTAGGAGGAAGGGATCTGGAGAGAATCCCTTTCCTATCTTTCTATCTTGACATTTGAATAAGTTGATGATATTCTCATTACCAGAAAACCTAAATGTTGCTAGTTCAGGCCCCTTAGGGAGTAATGTTTGTTGAAACTCCATAAATTTGAATCTCTTGCTCACTTTATTTTATTCTTATCAAAATACTCTTTGAATATCGTTTATTATGTACTCTAGAACCTGTCTGCTTCACTATTATTTGGAAAATATATATGCACTTCCTTTTCTCCTTCTGCACACTCGTATATTTCTCTATGTTTGATTGATCCAGTCCAAAGACTACAACGAAAAATAGAAATGTACGGGAAGAGAAGACGGATGTGAAATCACTTCCCTATTGTTTTCCTCTTATGTCTATCTTTTTCACTGTTTCCGAAAACACCAGAAGAAGTACAAAAAGTATGACTCCTAGAGTCAAACCTTTAAAGATAATTCAGGCAAAAAATTGTTGGTACACCTAGCAGTACTAGGAAGTTGATTTTCACACACTGTTTTGAGCATCTCACCTAATATTCTTTATTTCCAATAGATAGATTAAATAAATCAAATAAAATTAAAAAGAGATGTATATGGAAAAAAAAAAAAGAGTGTTAATCTTTTCCCTACAAACAATAGATTCATGAGACAACGGTTATAAACAATAGATTCTCGGAAAGGGATCCCTTCTTTCTAATCCATTAAATTAGGAAATTTGTACCATTAAAATTTGATCTAACGACTATAAACAGGAATCCACTTTAAAAATTATAATAACTTCAGTTATTTGATCAATTTTCAATAACACAAATTCTTTAATTTGGTGAATTAAAAGGAAAGGATACAGAGAGAATCCCTTTCCTTTTTTTTGGAGTCTTGATTGCAGAAGCAGTACTTTAAGCGAGTTCAAATGGGCCAGCTTTGGTCCCCAATACTGATGATGATAAATGTTCGTTTGGAAATTGATAATGAACAATGTTTAAAACTAAAATTAAATCAAATTACCAAAAAGGTTCGAACTTTACTGCATAAGGAGGAAATTACTTCTCTAGCCAACTTCATTAAGTTTAGGTTTACAAATATTCTAATAAATTAGTAATATTAGCATCTCCATTATTTGTTGGTCAAAATTAATAATCGTACAATTTGTTGATGAAAAATATATTGGCGTGGAGTGACAAACTCACGTTTCATAATCCTTCTAGTGAATCATAATTATAACAAACAATTTAATCACGAGCGAAACTTGTTGGAAACCTTCCAGGGAATGATAATTTAAACAATGTAATCGTGAGAGAAAGTTGCGTGTTACTGGGTGTATATACCCCTTCGTAACCCACAATGACAAAACGGGCCAGAATTCATAAACTTGAAGGCTGTGTTGTTCGAATCCTCGTAAAACAGCAACATGCCGAACCAGAATCACCCAGAAAAGGAAATCAACTACTAAACTGGCAAACATTATGAAATTCTGAGATAACAAGAAATTGGTGACAGTCATAAATACATGGAACGTGATTTAATAGCCGACACCTTCAAGGTTGCCAGAAGAAAATGTCATCAAACTAATTCTTGTTCTCCGGTAAAGAAGCCTCAGCACTCAAAGGCTAAACAACTACAAAAGAAACCAAACATTACCATGATCCAAAGGTAAACTTCTCGACTAGATCCCAAGGTAAGACTAGGCCAGAGAAAGAAATGTTAAGCTGTGACCCTTGCTCGACCCTTTGCTATCCTTCTAGCTATTACTCTTCGTCCACCCTTGGTTGCCTTGCTGTTCATGTGATAATGTGTCAGTCACACATGCAAAATCTACATATTACTGGTTGATGATGAAACTTGAAATAAGAGAAAACACGGGTCACAAAAGTAAGCGTTCTCATAAGTTGATCTGACAGCAAAACTAGCATTCACGTTGAAAAGCAAAACTATACAGGTTCAATGACAGTAATGGTCATGGTTAATTTTGATTATCCTTTATCCAGATAACTAAATACGTGTGCGTGTGGGTGAGTGTGCGTGTGCGTGAGAGAGAGCGAGAGAGAGAGAGAGAGAGAGACCGAGCAAAAAATCCATGGTTCCTCTTCCGCCGGATGGTACTAGGCTGGAAGGTTCGCTTTGGAAATAATAGCATTGGCTCTGTTGATGAAGATTCATCTCCTGAGGAATAAAACATATATGATCATTACTGAAAGGAACAAAATGGAGTTGCTGTCAATATTACATGTTAAGTTTTACACTGTCAGCATACTTCGCAGGCATTGCCTTTTGGACAAAAATCTTTTCTTTTTTGTTCCTTTGGGTAATTAAAACATCAGAAGTTGGGTTCCCACTCTCCAATGACAACTATAATTCTAACAGGGGAGAACAGTAAAGGACATGAAATAGAGATTTTTACACAAATAACTTCTGAGCTATATAATTTGACACAGACATTTCTTAACCTATTACAATAGTATTCTCTCTGCAATTTTCTACCCAAAAAAACAGAGCATAGATTTCAAAAAGAAACTTGCTTCTGCCCAGCATTAGCATTACCAAAATATGTCGATTTGAAGGCTGTTCTTGCTGATCAATTATTGTACATGATTGAACCCAGTCTAACGACTTTAAGCAACTATTCACTCTATATGTGATGGTCATGATCGAAGACCGATGATTTCCATCATTTTGCAAAAGTTAGAAAAAAATGACAAAGAAATATACTTGAGTGCCTAAAAACGTAAAATATAGTTGCGTGCCTAAAAACGTAAAATGCCAGTTACAGAACAAAATGTTTGATGTTAGACGTGCATTAGGACTTCAAGAACAATATCCATAAAGTGACTACAGGCCAAGCTTACGTGACTACTTAAGTTTCAGATCCCCAACACCCCAAAATCTATGAAGTCAAAGCATCCAGGCACGCACAATTTAGAGGTATGAAAGGTGCCAGTGAAGGACATGCTTAGAAGCTAAACAATGTGTATATGCTCATATACAACTCGGGGAATATGACATAATTCTACTGAAATGCTTAATTCTGTTCAAAACGAAAAACTGAAAACTATGAACAAAGCCAATCAAATTTCTAATTAAGATTCACTTAATTTCCCAAATTAAAGTCAACCACCCACTCCTCACTATAAGTGTAAATATTTACACTCCAAATAAATCTCTCTACTTTGTACACTCCTGAAATGCGCAACGTAGAACGAAACTGCTGATTCTAGTATTTTCCAACATTTTCTCAGCAACCAAACAGTCCATTAATTCAAAATACTTAACAAAAAAGTACAAATTTCCCGAACAAATTCCAAAATTGGCAGAAACCGATGATGTGAGAGAGTGTGAGAGAGAGAGTACCGTCAGGTAAGTAGAACGGAAGATAAGGGAGGCCGCAGGGGTACCAAAAGCCTTCAGAGGAGACCCGTTTCAGCGATTCGGCATCGTTTTGGGGAAAACGGAGGGAGGTATCGAAGTGGGAGAGAGACGGGAACAGCTTGGGAGTGATTCCGAGGCCGTGAGATACAATCTGGCGATTCGGATTCGGGTTCGGGTGTAGCAATGGCTTGGATAGGAACCGGTTCACGAAGGAAGCTCCGGTTCGAATTAGGGTTTTGGACGCCATTTCTTGGAAGAAGATGGAGCTGCTTGATTTCTGCTAAAACCTATGTAGCGACTGGAGAGACGGGGGCGGGTGGATAGGTGTGGACGACACCAATTTTATTGTCGTTTGAGAAATAGTTAGAGCTAATAAAGGAGACTGAATGGCGCGTGGTGGTCCAGTCGTTGAGAACGAATTTCATACCCGTATTTCATAAGCACGTTATAAGTTTGATTCTTGGGACATTTGAATCACACAATGGTGGTCACAGAGAGGTCAAAAATTTCTCTGTGAATCTTTCTGGTTTCCAAAAGGATAGACTATCGTGACGAAGTCACCAGCTGATCCCTTTTTTTTAAAAAAAAAAAAAAAAAAGAGGATAAATCTTAGTTTACTACTCTCAAGTTTCGTGGTTTTCAACATTTAGTACATGAAGTTTATTTCATCCTAGAGTGATACCTAAAGTGTTAATTTTGGGACAGTCTCATACATTCGTTAGTTTGGTTGTTAAGTCTTCCGTTAACTGATGGCGTGGCGCCCATGTGGACAATGATTGGGCGCCACTTTTCTTTTTAAAAAAATTAAAAAATTAATATAAAATTAAAAAAAAAAAAAAACAAAAAAAAAAACCAGAACCCATTCGTCTTCCCGACCCCAACCTTCCTCCCTTCTCTCCTCTGCACCTACCCAACCTCTGCACATCCATCCTTCCCCCTCCCTCTTCGACTCCATCCACTCAACCCTCATCCTCTTCGATGGCCCCGTTTCTCTGTACACAACCACCACATTCCCTCACCCCTCAGTATTCTCCCCACTATTCATCACTTTCTCTCACTCTCCTTGCAGATTTGACGGCAAATCTCTAAAAATCGACCGCAAATTTGGAGAAAAGCAGCGGATTGAGCCGCATACGCATCTCCAACTTCATTCTCGAGCTGATTGAGCTCGACCTTGACTGGATCCGAGAGGTGCAATTGTTTCTGGACTTGCCAATAATCAAACCCTAACGCATTGCGAACGACACCGTCTACCTACACCCTAGGGCATCCAACATTGATAACAAAAAATACACAAATAAAACTCAAAAACGAGGAGTGTTAGAGTGACGAAGAGGCTCACATAATGTAGAAGTATCCGAGAAAGTGCGTGGCGGGGTTAAGTTGGTCGAGAACGGGAAGCAACCGAGTCGACTAGGCGTAGAGCGACTCTTGTGCTTGCTTTAGAAGGACGTGGATGTGTAAGATGTTGTCGGAGCTCGACAGCCCTTGGATGTTCGTCACTAGAGATTGTATGGCTTCCATGGCTTCCGGTCAAGTTTCCGATTTTTGAGATCTGGGAATATCGTCGCCCCCATAGATATGGGAGTATTGCCTTCAAGTGATGGTTAGATGATGCCTTCAAGTGACGACGTCGTGGTGGTTGAGGTTGAAATTGAGGGTGGCGGTGGGGATATGGAAATGTGGGTATGGAAGTGGGTGGGGGACATGGGGAAGACGAAGGTTTATGCGTTTTTTATTATTATTTTTAAACTTTTATTTAATTAATTATTTTATTATTCAATATTTTTGAATTTTTAATATCCACGTGGGACGTTTATTGACACGTGACACTCAATCATTGTCCACATGGGTGCCACATCATCAATTAACGGAAAACTTAACAGCCAGACTAACGGATGTATGAGACTGTCCCAAAATTAACACTTTATGTATGACTCTGGGGTGAAAAAAACTTCATGTACTAAATGTTAAAAATCACGAAACTTAAAGGTAGTAAACTGAGATTTACCCAAAAGAATATATAGAGGAGACTAGACTTGTCTTCAAACCGCATTTTGGTCCTTGAAAAAAGAATCTATTTTCGGTTGTCCTCCAGCTTTCATTTTTGTAACCACTTTCGTCCTTTCCGTCTATTTTGTTTATTTTTCTGTTAATTTGAGGGGTAACTTAATTCTCCTTTTGTATTTGAAGAAAATAAAAATGAAAGAGTTAATTATAAATACTGATCTTTAAAAAAAATTATAAATATGATCCATGAACTCATTCTCGCATTTCATTTTTTTCACTAAATTCTTGCCGTGTTTATTTTTGTTTTTAGAATTTGGGATGCTTATTAGAGCGTCGTCAAAAGCTTGTTAAAAGTGCCAAGTAAACATTCAATGGTAAAATGAGTGAAAGAATTCTTACCGAATCTTCTTTGTGAGAATCCTAGCGATCCTCCAATCACATCTATTCATCATGCATCTTGCGGCTAGTTTTTGTCAGTACGGTTTTTATTCAATTTTAAATAAAAAAAATTTACAATGATTTCTGACCACATGATGTACGATGAATGGATGTGATTTGAGGATCCTCGAGATCCTCACAAAAAGGATCTAGCGAGGATCCTCTCTCGTAAAATGAAGCAACAAAACTTTCTCCAATTGAGGCTTCATTTCTTATGCGGAATAGATGCCTAGGTACATTAACTATTAATCATATTATCCACTCGTGTTATAACACGTAAATAAATTAGTAGTATGTATTGGTTTACGTAACACAGTAAAAAACTACTCGTTATTTTGCTAGGCCTGGCAAACAGGTTGTCTTTGTCATGTTCACGTAACACCTATTATCTTAACAGGTCGTTTCGTGTCACACTCATTATCTTAACGGGTTCTTAACAGGTCAGTTCAGGTCATTTTACCCGACCTGTTCTGACTCGTTAAGATTTTTTTTTTCTTCTAAATTTGCACATACCATATTGCCACATAAATATTACTTCGAAAACTAATTCGGAACGAAAGACCCCAATTTTCACAAACCCTAGAAACGAAAGAATGAGAGAGTTTGATTTAGGCTGAGAAAAATATTGGACGATCGATATTAAATCTCAGCCGATCCAACAATCATCAATTTTCTAAATTAATTATATATATATATATATATATATATTAACTTTCAGTTCAGTTCATGACTAAATTCTACTGTTATTAATTAAGTAATTATTTTTAGTGGTATAAAATTATTAACTTAATATTTTTCTTATCGTGTAATGGGTTACCCACATTTATACTTGGACTGACCTGTTATCTTAACAGGTGATTATTGGGTTACCCGATAATGACCCGATTCGTTATCATGACAATCCAAAAACCTGCTAATTTCGTATCATGTCGTGTTGGGTTAATGGGTTATGTCAGATTCTGCCAGGCGTAATTTTGCATAACACATTAATGTTTTGAGAACAATTTGGTGATTCTCCTCCAAGCACCCACCCTCCCCTACCTTCTTTGTGCATCCCAATTCTCTTCATTTTTAGTGTGTGCATGTACTTCTTTTGAACGGCAATTTGGTTGGAACATACAGAAAATAGACACAGTTGGAAAAATTGGCTAAAAATATATTTGGACAAGGATTGTCTGCCCTCCTGTTTGTGTGGTCACGGTTAAGCTACGTCAACATTTTATATTACTATACATTTTTGTCTTATTATCTCTATAAAAAAAATAATATAAAATGTTGACGTGACTTAATTGTGACCACACAAAACAGGAGGGCACCGGAAGCGGGAGGGCAGACAATCCTTGTCCAATATATTTTGGGTACTTAATATTTGAAAAGAAAAAGTTTAGAAGGAAATCGAAGATCAAGTACAAGCTTAGAAGATATTTCGGACAGTGTACTTTTTTTTTTTTTTTTTTTTTTTTTTTTTTGACAAACGATATTATCTGCATTAAAAGAGTGGTCTAAACTTCACAATAGACTAGCAATAATGTGGTTCAAATTCGCCTTTAGCAAGAAACGAACTTAAGAACTCTCACTTATAAGTAAACAAGAATACAATTAGACCGTAGTACTAAGTGACTTTATCTTTTATTTTACAAAGAGTTTTAAGTTTTTTTTAATAGTTTTAAGTGAAAATACATCTAAAGCCCAGGTGGATAAGGTTTTGGGTGGAAAATGGGGGCCATGGCCCCATTGTAGAAACAAACTTATGCGAAAAAAGGGGATAGCAGGGCCCACACGTTAGTTTAACTAACGTGGGCAAATTCAGTATGAAGTGACATATGGTAGGACAAAAATGTGCGAATGCGATTTCATGACCGTTGCCATCTAATGGATGTCGAGCCTCTTGGAAATAATAAAGTTTGGGGGAGGAAATTATAATCCTTTACCCTTGAAGGAAAAAATTGAATAACCTCATACATATAGATTTCTAATCCTTAGGTTGAAGGTAGTCTAAATACACTAAAAACACAAGAAGAAAACAAAATGTCATGCCCTGATCTCGACATACGTTCAGGAGCGACATGTGACGTCACCCAATTACTCGTATATCTCACATACCCCGTCTCAGGAATATGGCAAATTACAATTCGAGAATCAAATTGTAAAGAAATTTTTCAGTTTACCTTATGGCTGTATCTAACTTCCTCGTTAGACTGCCTACGTACCCTCAAATAGGGATCAAGCCATTCGTAGTTCATTTAGCACAAAAATCAGACGTTTATTCCACTAAATTCAAGCAAAAGAGCATAGTATTCCTTAATCATTTAAAATAACTTGACAACATGTAATTCCTGGACTCAGGCTGCATAACCAATCCCCATGAAAACAAGATTTCTCTCCCATCCAACATATAAATCATTATGTCTCATCATGGTATCGCAATTCACAACACATCATATTTAAGAGCCAACGAAACACAATACCATTCTCTAGCCGCATTAATTAATTTGATCAAAGTAATAACAATCATTCCCATATCTTCTAAATTCATACCTTATGAAATCATAATCGAATCATAGAAAATCCCAAAGGAGTCACTCAGACGTCCAACATCTTTTTTAACTCAATTCACAAGACTCTCAAAACCATTGACACAAATATATATATATATATATATATATATATAACTAAGGCTAGAGTGACACAGTTAGGCCAAGCCTAATTCTCCAAAATAATGGGATTTTAGGCCACTCCACGAAATTCAACAACCTCGAGTTCCGGACCACTCAACGGAACCAAACCAAATATGATTGCCTAAAAATGTACCATGCACAATTAATCATCATCACCTCTA